TGTGGTTGGATCGCGAAAAAGGTGCGATCCTGTAGATGCTATCCACAGTGGTAGCGGAGCTCTAAGCTCCAGGTAGTGCTTGTAGTGCCATGGCAGATGGCAGCACCCAGCTGGTGCCGAGAAGTGATGGAAGTGAAGCTGCTGAAGGTGAGCATGCTGGAGTTGGTTCAAATCAGTCTCGGGTTAGAGGCCGTGATGTGTCGCCAGTTGGAGCTGGCGTGTCTGATGACTTTGACAGTGATGAGTTTAGAGAGTTTTTGAGGAATCGTCGACGCCGAGACCGAGATCGCGATCGAGGCAGAGGACGTGGTGATGAGGAAGAGGATTGGAAGGGAGGCGGATCCACTTCCAAGCCTCCGGAATGGGATGGTGACGCAACGCCATTTCAAGATTGGCTGATCAAGGCCAAGTTGTGGTTAGCTACCACCAAAGTCCGGAAGACAGCGCAGGGTCCCATGATTTTACAAGGACTACAAGGGGTAGCATTCCACACGTTCAAGCACTGGGCAAAGGACACGGAATGGCTTCAAGATGAACAAGGCGGACATCGACTTTTGGCCGCCATGGATCAACCCGAGAACTTCGGGGATGACAAGGAAGAGGACCTGTTGAGCTCTCTCGCCAAGGTTACGTACCACATCAGAAGAGATCGACAAGAAGGACATCGAGCGTTCTTCAATAGATGGGAAGAGGCCATGAGAAGGGTGGCAACTCATCAGGTCGTTTTGCCTGATGCCTACAAAGGATTTCTGCTCATCAACGCCTTGAACCTTAGCGAGCAGGACATCAAGAACATGATGAACTTCAATAGAGGAAGCATCGCCACCAAAGATGTAAAAGAATGGGTTCGCAAACACGAGACGAAGCTCATGGCCAAGGAGGTTGGCATCGAACTGAACAAGAGCAAGGGAAAGTCTTCGACCGGGACTTCGTCGACTACCCCGGTACACCACATGAATGTCGATGACAACACGGACTACACCGATGAGAACGAGATCTGGGAGGCCGTACTGGAGGAGTTGAACGACGATGAGGACGGTGAGAATGGCGAGGAAGGTCAAGAAGCCAACGAGGAGGAGCTCCTTGACGAACATGAGGTCCGAGAAGTCCTGAACACCATGTACCAGAAGAGGACCTTCAGCCAGAGTTTGAAGCTGAAAAAGGCCAAGGAATTGGCTCGAGGTTTTGGTGGCTGGAAGGGAACCGGAAAAGACAAAGGAAAACAAGGAAAAGGGAAGCTGATCGACCAACTCAAGCAGAACAGCCGCTGCGCTATTTGCAAAAAGGTTGGTCATTGGCATCGAGAATGCCCAGAAGGGAAGGGAAGAAGCAAATCCACGCCCAAGGAGAACTACTACATGGAGAAGGTGACGGGCAAGGAGACTGAGGAGGCCTACTTCTGCGGCCACCTGGAGACCATGGATCCCCTGGATGACATGAAGGACTTCAATGATGAGAAGTTCTTTCGATTGATGGACCCGGTTGATCAGGAAGACCGGGAGATCTATGGGGAACAATATCGACACTTGGAAGAGGACTATGAGGGTGAAGCCTGGCCCCAGATTCCGACGTTGAGAAGGACGTGGGGACTACCTCACTGATGCCTCCGTCGGTGGCTAAGACTTCAACCGGGACAAGCCCAGCTGAGCCCGTGGACGATCCGAAATTCGTAACTTTTGAGGTGGTTTCCAGCTCCCACAATGTAGCTGGAGAAGACAACCAATCCAACTCCCGATATAAGGCCCAATGCGCAGCTATTGGAGGGGATATTGGGGGAGAAGATGGTGATTTTTTTGGGGATGAAGTTTTGTGGACACGTAATGATTCTTATTTGCAGGGGAGAGCAACCGAAAATCATTATAAGCCCAATGACCACCGCAGGACCGGCGAGAAGAGACATGTTCCACCCCAGCTTTTGAGGACACGTCAAGATGATGGATGTGCCACCATTGACACTGGGTGCCAGAGAATGGCGATTGGAGAAGAAACACTACATCGACTAGCCCGACAACTACCCTCCAATCTTGGCATAGGACTAGTACCTCAAGAGCACCGTTTCAGGTCAGTGAACGGAACATCATCCACCACCCATTTGGCCACCATTCCTACCAGCCTTGGTAACAAAGGAAGCCTGCTACGTCCGGCCATTTTTCAGGAGGGAGATTCAAAGAAAGCACCATTTTTGATTTCACTGCCCTTCCTTCTGCATTGCCGATCCGTTCTTTATCTGGACCCGGAAAGAGGCCTACGGCTGCACCTTCGTCGATTCGGGTTCGGGGTGGATTGCCACATTGGTCCGACGGGAGCACTTCGGGTCCCCCTCAATCAGTTCACGAAAGAACAACAAACTCGTCTTCAACAGCTTCAAGAGCAACTCCGAACGGAATCCTCCGAGTTCGAGGTCCTGAAGATTGCTCACTCGACCGACGATGGCTCAAGTCAAGAGCTCAACGTGGAGAACGGACCTCGAGAACCAAGTCCAATTTGCCATGAAGCGCAGCCGGATCGAAGAGAACCGGTACGACCACGTTTGGGCTCGCCTGGTGGCAAAGATTCTGTACGTGGTGATGCGACTGACGGAGTTAGCAGTCTCACTGCTGGGACAGAGAATCTATGTTGGGACCATGGACGAAGAGACGGAGGCAGAAGTGAACGACATGGAGGAGGACTGGGAACCAATCCGACCTCACGGGAGAAACAAGTTCAACATATGGCCAACAGAGACATCCTCAACACGAACCAGACGAAGTGTGGAGAACTCTGTAGCCTCGGACTCAGTCACCCCAGTGAGCCAGACACCACCTACGGCCTCCGAAGAGAAGAGCCCAGGAAGCTATCGCCCCTCAACTCGATCTCCGAACACCCCGACAGAACTGGTGGAGAAGCCGCCAGAACCAAAGGCATTTCCGAAAGAGAATTCCAAAAAGGGGAAGAATCAGAAGGGAGCCGAGATTATCGACGAGGAGGACCCGGAGACTTGCGAGCACCCCAAAACCACCAAGAGAGGCACCAACGCCTTCGTGAACGTGGAGAAATGTCTCAAATGTGGGAAGATCCTGAAATCGGAACGAAAGACCGACCAGGCGGAGATCAAGATCAAGATCGAACAGGAAGATCAAGAGGAGAAACCGATGATGGACAAGGACCAGACCGACTTCGCAGAGTTCCTGGAGTACCAGAAATGGAAGGCAGAGAGAAACAAGGCACAGACCGGTGGCAACAAGAAGTAGAACAGTGGGGCCACTGGAAGGAGCTTGGGAAGAAACATCAGAAGGCGATGGGGTCAGCCCTGAAAACGGCTGAGGCCTATTTGCAGGAGATTATGACGCTTCTGAGAGAGGATGAGCCAATTTGCGCCATCGAGAAAGATCTAGAGCGCATCAAGTCCAACACGAGAAGTCTCCAAAAGTATGCTAAAATGATTAAGGGATCCCCCAAGACTGTCGTCGAGATTTTCAACCCAAAGCGATTTGCACCTCGTTGCACTCGGGCAGGACTCGTCGCTGCAGCAGCATTCGACCTCGAGCTTGGGGACCAACTTCTGGATCCAAAAGAACGAGATCAAGTGATGAATTTCATCAAGGATTTCAAACCAGGACTGGTCATCATTTCCCCACCGTGTACATTGTTTAGCATCATGCAGAACATGAACGTGAGAAAGGAGGACTTTCAGAAACGACTTCGACAAGCTCGAGTTCTGCTCAATTTCGCCTGTGAGGTGATATGTGCCGTGCTGAACTACGGGGGAACCTATTTGTTGGAGCAACCTTTAACCTCGAAGGCATGGACTGAGAGAGCCTTACAGAAGGTCATCAACCGGGATGATAGCATCCTCACTTCCTGTGATCAATGTCAATACGGACTTCAAGATACTCAAGGAGGATGGATGAAGAAACGAACTGGATGGATTACCAATAGCCAGGAAGTCGCTGACAAGTTGAAACAACAATGTGACGGGAGCCATCAACACATTTCAGTTCTTGGCTCATGCAAGGGGGAAAGTCGCTCGACTCAGGCCCAAAGGTATCCAGACGCACTCGTCGACGCTATCCTACAAGGATACCATCAGAGCCTTAATCGCCCCAAGAAGGAGATCACCTGGCTAGGACTTCGTGATTGTCGAGAACTCGACGAACGAACAAAGAGTCGCAAAGAACAATGGACCTGGTTGAACCAAGAAGAACATGAAGTACATGCCCAACAGGAAGAAACAGAAGAAAATGGAGGAGAAGACGAAGCGGACAGCCGCTTAGAGAAAACATACCTTCCTCGAGAAAGACCCTTCTCAACGGAACAGTTGGTTCGAAGGGCACATGAAGGACTTGGACACCCAGGAAACGACCGACTGGCAAGAATTCTACAGGGTGCCAGTGCCTCAAGAAAGGCAATCGAGTGTGCCAAAAACCTGGTTTGCGCCACGTGTCAACAGCACCAACTTGTCAGGCCGCCCAGAGCTGCGGCACCACCAAAAGAACTACCACCAAACCACACGATTGGAGTGGACACCATCTGGCTTCCTACACCAGGAAAGAAACGACGAATGGCATTGAATATAGTTTGCTGGTCCACGAGATTTCAAATGGTGATTCCGCTTCGAAGTCATACCGCTCCTGACACTAGAAGAGCCTATCTAGAGTGGGTTCGATTCATGGGGGTGCCACAGCGACTCTACACAGATTTGGGAAAAGAATTTTGCGCTGCTTTTCAGGATGGAGCTGAACTGGATGACACCATTGTCGAACCCAGTGCCTTGGAAATGCCAACTCAAAGATCCATTACTGAACGATCAGGAAAAACCTTTAAGGAAGTGCTCACCAAGGCCATGGAGACATATGCGGTACAGAATGACTCCGAGTGGAGAGACTTGGTGGACATCGTGAACATGACCGTGAACCGACTCACCAACAAATCGGGATTTTCACCCGCACAACGACTTCTGGGATACACGCCAAAAATGCCAGGAAGCCTCCAATTCTTGTCACAAGAAGAGCAAAAAGAAAGGAATTGGGCAACTCGAGGAGACCTTCAGATGCAAAGAGCACAAACGATGCGACTGGCGGCAGCGAAAGCATTCCATGAAACCGAATGCCAACAAGCATTAAGGAATTCACTACATGCCGGACGTCGTGCTCTACCTGAATTTGAGGTGGGACAGACAGTCTACTTCTGGAGACGAGCTCCGGGAGACAAGGCCAGTCGAGAGAGTACCAAGTATTGGAGAGGACCAGCGAAGGTGGTCCTGACCTCACCACCAAATGCCATCTGGATCAACTTCAGGCGGCACATCGTCAAGGCGGCACCAGAACAACTACGACATGCCAGTGAAGAAGAACAGACATCATTGTCTTCATGGATGGAAGGGCTATCGAACCTCCGGCATATCATGTCAGAAGAACCTAAGGCTGGCTACATCGACCTCACCAAGGAGTACAACGCCGATGAGATGGACCAAGAAATGGAAGAGATTGGTCTTCCGCCAGAGGAACAATTTATGAAGAAGCCAAGATACAAGGTCGACGGAAAAACTCCCTTGAAGGAGGTGGAGGAAAGACCAGAAGAAGATGGATGGATGTGGAATGAGCAGAAAGGAATTTTAACCCGGTTCCATCTTCAACTCCGGCAACAGAGCTTTCGGCCAACAGACACCAGCGATTGCCCCATCGATTACAACAAACTTCAAGGACACCGACGGACCACAATGTATTTTGAAGATGGAAACATTGTGGAGACCGTGGATGATTGGAGAACCGACAATCCCACACAGACAAGAAGATGGAAAGGAAGAACCGAATTTCAATTGGATCCCACTCCACTTCCATGGGATCATGAAACACCAAAGATAGAAGGCACATCCACCGCAGAGGAGCCACAAGATCAGAAAGAACAACAGGACATGGGAGAAGAGCAATCTATCCATGTCCACAAGAGGCCGGTAGAAGAGGAGAAAGAAGATCGAAAAGAAAAGAAGATGAAACCTAACCCTGAAGAAGAAGAACCATCTCGAGGACAAGTACGACCTTATGAACAAGAAGAACAACCAGAAGAAGACACAGCAACAAAAAGGCAAAGAATTGACTGGACAGAAGTCATGCTTCAGTCATTGGTTCAGGAAACCAAGAAGCAAAAAGGACAAAAGGAAATCAAACTGAAGGAACTCGTGCAATTCGCAAGGGAGAAGTTTTTGAAAGCCATCAAGAAGGAGATTGACAATAACATCAACACTGGAGCCTATGAGATCCTAACGCCCGAAGAATCCGAAGAAGTCAGGCGAGGAGGTCACAATATTTTACAATCACGATATGTCCTCGTCGAAAAACGAATTGATCCTGATGAAGTGGAAGATATGAGGATGAACGACCTACTTCTACGAGAAGATGAACATGGAGGGTTCAAAGCGAAGGCGAGACATGTCATGAAGGGCTTCAGTGAACCGGACTCAGAATGGCTTGAAGCTGCTACTCCACAAGTAGCACCAGAAACGGTCCTACTGATCCTCCAGACCATTTGCTCATGCCGATGGACCCCAGGATACTTGGATTTCACACAGGCCTTCCACAGCGGCGACGAAATCTCGAGGCTTCTATTTGCAGAGCTTCCAGCTGAAGGAATTCCAGGGGTCGATAGAAGACAGTTGCTTAAATTGAAGAAGCACTGCTATGGGCTTTTGGACGGACCTTATCAATGGTATTTACACCTTCAACGTGTCCTGAAGGATTTGGGCTATGAGCAATCTCAAGCAGATCCTTGCCTATTTCTACTTTTTAAAGAACCTGAACGACCAGATCGAGATGGAGGAGAAGCCAGGACAATAGAAGGGATCGTGGGAGTAGCCACAGATGACCTACTACATGGCGGAGGAAACAAACACTGGGCGAACATGCGTTGGATTCAGCAACACTACAAGCTTGGTAAGTTCACCCAAGGAGATGGGCGATTCGTTGGAAAAGAGATCCAATGCCTCAAAGATGGTCGCATCAAAGTACATCAAACTATGTATGTCAAGGAGAAGATCCACCCAGTGAACCTCACAAAAGATCGAAAGAGAGAAAAATACAACCTCTGCAGCGAAGATGAAATCTCAGCCCTCCGAGCATTGCTTGGATCTTTAGCTTGGCTGGCCAAAGAGACAAGACCCGACCTGATGGGACGAGTCTGCATATTGCAGCAATGTATGCCTCGGCCGTACGTCCGGGACTTGATCGAGGCGAACGTGCTGGCACAAGAAGCGGAAAAGGAAATCAATGCTGGAATCATGATCACTCCCATCGATAGAAATGATCTTCGAATTGGATCAGCCTCTGATGCAAGTTGGGGCAACTCACCATGTAAGGAACTCGAAGAGCAGAGCAAAGACTTCTGGGAGGAACGAGGTGATCTCTGGATTAGACATCATGTTCAACCTCGACATCTACTGTTTCATCCAGGAGCTGACTCCAATGGACCACAACTACATGACCTTGAGGCAGAGCGGGCTACTTGGGTTGATGGAGAATTATTTGAAGATACCTGGAATCGTCGAGAAGATTTTCGACGACATGGAGATTCAGAATGGAAAGGACACACCGTCTTCATGAGGAAGAAAGAAAAGAAAAACAAGGTCGAAATTCATGAAAAGTTTCTACAAGTTGGACGAACACACAGTCAAGGTGGACACATCATCTACGCCTATGACAAGAAACTTGAAACAGAACAAACTCCACAAGCCCTGTCGATCCTGAGTTGGAAGAGCTACAAATTGAAAAGATGCACGGTTAACACCTTGGCGGCCGAAGCTCAAGCAATGGTTCAAGGAGTTGGAGGTTCATACTGGCTAAGGTTCCTATGGTCCGAGATCCAAGGCTACAAGATGAACCTGAACAACTGGCAAGAACGGATAAGTCGAACTCCTTTCATAGCAGCAACAGACTCAAGATCTCTGTTCGATAACCTGAGCAAGTGCACGGCCATCGACTTAACGATCCTGAAGAACGACATGACGAGCACTCAAGGACAGGTCCGGTGGGTTCCGGGTGAAATAATGATTTCGGACTCTCTCACGAAAAAGGGACCCTCTCATTTTCTTCGAAAGATAATGCGCTGCTCGTGTTGGACCTTATGTGAATATGGAGCCAAAGCGCTTCAACAGTTTTGACCAAAGAAGATTTGGAGCGATGTGAATCGGACGTCGAACTCCATGTTGGTCAAAACCCGCACAAATC